ATGCATCTCCTTAAGGTATACAGCTCAATTATAATACCCCATCAAATTCCTAAAATTTTTTTAGGGGAAGTAGTTCTCACTGCAACATATCTTATCAATCGAATGTCTAGCTCACTTAACTTTAAAACGTCTCTTCATGTTTTCATGGTTTCTTATCCTCAGATCTGAACTTTAAATTCTACCATCCCACTTAAAATTTTTCAATGTGTATCATTTGTTCGTGATCATTCCCAAAATCACACAAAATTCGACCCTAAATCTATAAAATGTATTTTCATGAGCATGACACCAACAAAAAGAGGTATAAGTCTATCATGTTACCAAAAAAATGCTACAATTTCATGGATGACATATTTTTCTGAAAATTAATATTACTACCCCAAATTTAATGTTCAGGGATGAGTGCAAATGAACAATAATTTTGGAATGCACTTGATCTGCATGGTCTCACCACTTACTCCACCTAGCCCTCCCATCCTGGTTGAGATTCCCAACCAACTCAACCAACCAAATCAAAAGTCCAGAACAAAGAACATCGTGTATATACAATGAGGAAGAAAAATCTTGAGTAGGTGGAAGACAACTTGCATAGATAGAATAGCTTGAACAAAAATATAAGTCCACATTCACCTAAAATTTTGGGTAAGGATTTTGGTACTTTTATCCTCTTCCTCTTCAGATGTTGGTGACAAAGAAAGATGCATTAGATATCCAATTTAGGAGTATGTAGCTTATGGGAAGCTATCCCATCCCATAAAACTTTATGTTTCTAATCTTGATAATATGCAGATTCCTAAATACATTCATGTAGCTCTTGCAAATTCAGAATGGGGGAAAACAAATGAAGAGGAGATTTAGAGCCTAAAGCATAATGGTATATGAATTCTTACTAAATTCCCTCAGGATAAGAAGCCGATTGGGTGCAAATAAGTGTTCAAAATCAAACACAAAGCTAATGGAGGTAATAGATTCAAAGCCGAACTTATTGCAAAGGTTTCACTAAAGCCTTTGGGATCGACTATTAGTAAACCTTCGCACCAATTGTTAAACTTAACACTATTAGAATTCCCCTTTCAGTGACAGTGAACAAGGAGCGGGGACTACATCTACTTGACACGAAAAGTCTTCCATAATTACGGTTAAAAAGAAGTGTATATGAAGATACTACTATGACTTGAGAATGATTCTAACGAACACTAAATATACAAGCTCAAGCAGTCTCTCTATGGACTTAAGCAATCACCAAGAGCGTGGTTTAAAAGGCTTGTAAAAACTATGAAATCTAATGTATATTCTCAAAGTTAAGCTAATCATACTATATTTGTAAAACACACCCAGGAAGGTAAGATTATTGTTGCACTAATAGTATATGAGAATGATATGATTCTTACTGGTGATGATAAAAGAGAGATTCTTAAGATTAAAAAAGTGTTTTCCTGGAGTTTAAAATTAAGGAACTAGGAACCATGAGATATTTTCTAGGTATGGAGATAACACAAGATCTAAGAGAGGAATCATTATATCACAAAAGAAGTACATCTTAAATTTACTAAAGGAAACAGGGATGATTAGATGTAAGTCAGATGATACTCCAATGGATCACAACCCGAAGTTCAAGGGAGAAGAAAAAAGTATTTATGTGGATAAGGGAAGATATCAAAGATTATTAGAAGACCTCATCTATCTGTCATATAAGAGGTTAGAAATTGGAGATGATATACAAAATTCTGAGGTTTCTCAAGATGACTAGTTATTATAGATTAATTTTTGAGAAATTGGAACAGAGAGATGGAAGTATAGATTGATGTTATTTGGGATGGGAAACCCACTAATAGAATGTCCACCACTGGTAACTGCTCCTATGAATGGGAAATACAATGACATGGAGAAGTAAAAAGCAAGTGATTGTTGCTAGAAACAATGCGGAATTAGAGTATAAATCACTTGCCTTGGGAATCTATGAAGGGATCTGGATTCAAAAATTGTTAAGAGAATTGGGATGTAGCTCCAATAGTCCTATGCAGATGTTTTGTGGCAGTAAAGCAGCTATCAGTATTGTCAATAATTATGTACATCATGATAGGACTACACATATTGAAATTTATATACACTTCATATCTATAAAAGTTAATGGAAAAATTATACGGCTTAGCTACATCCTGACACACCAACAAGTTGTAGATGTCTTCACCAAATCTCTTCCTTTAAGCACCTTCTTAGAGTTCAGTATCAAACTTGATCTCTACAACATCTACAACCCAGCTTGAGGGGGAGAGTGAAAATCTGAGAAGATCTTAGAATATTTGATTGGGACAACTTAGAAAACTCTTGATTAGTTTATTCTATTCCTATTCTATGTTATTTTATTTTTATTTCAAAATTATATCCTTTCCTAATTTAGGTTAGATATATTTGGCAAGTTTGTAAATCAGGAGTGATTTTTTTCTCTCTATATATGTATCATACATGTGAATAATATGGATCAATAGAATTATTTCTCTCAAAATAATATTTTCTAGAAGTTTTATATAACTTTAAATTGTGATATGGTTACGAGGGATCCTAGCCTAAGGGCAAATTTGTCTTTTGTACGCCTAAGAACAATTTAGCCTTTGATTATTTTTGTTGTTGGGTATAAATAGATTTGTTATGTCTAGTGCAAAGTTTTATGCATGAGAATGAGTTATGTTTTAGGTCTAGTGTGTGAGAAATATTTCCTACCTCTCGAATTGTAACAATTGTGAGAGATCACCTAACTCTCAAATTGTAAGTGCTTATCTTTTGTATTTGTGTGAGTTGTAGGGATTATTGAAATAAAATTTGTGGTTGCCCTAATTTTTTGTGGAAATACGTGTCGGTTTCTGTCTCAGATCATAACAAATTGGTATCAGAGCCTCATCAAACCTGCTGAAATCCGAAATTTGAAATCTTTAAAATTGTGGTGTCAAATTTTCTGATATCCGTCGCCAGATTGGATCACGCCACCATGATGGAAACTCGCAATAGACTCACGATTGGAGGTAGATAACGTGCAGGTTCTCGACGCTCTGGGAAGACATTGACGGGATCACGAGGTGACGACATATAGTCGTGATTGCAGCGATCTGCAAAGACGAGGGGCTAGCGGCTTACAGAAGAAGACAATGACGTACTCGCGGCCTTTGTCAGGCGACGAACTCTTTGCGAACCGTCTCGTGGAAGGCAGCGACGGGAAGCGGGTACAAAGATCCAAAACTTCTTGTCCTTCCTCTGTCGCTTGATTCTAGTGCTCTGCCGGCTTTTCGGCAGTAGGATTGGCATGAAACAGTCTGATGGAATTTCGGTTGGGAGCTTGCATGGACCACGAAGAAGGAAGGAAAGTTTTTAAAGGAATTTTTTAAGAAAAACTTACTAATTCTGAACGATGAGGATTTTGGGAAAGGAATGTAGGATTTGCAAAAAGAGGAATATTCCTTTATTCTTCTTCCCTTTTGGAGAAGGCGCGAGGAAAGATTTCTGAAGTAGGACTGGAGATGAACTTCATGAAAGACTTAAAGCTCGACATACGGGTAGCACTCTGACTACGAAGACCGCGGAAACTGAGGGAGATGATGGAGCTATCCTAGATGATGGTAAACAAGAACCAGATCAAGAAAGCTAGCAGAAGCAACGCAAATGGAGTGTCGTACGGAATGGTTGCAACCATGCCAATGCCAACAATTCAACCAATGGAAGTCCAGAGGGAGGCTGCACGGGACACGAATAATGGACCACGACTAGAAGAAACACTCAAGCGTCTTACAGAGACGGAGATCTAGAAGAAAGAGTCAAGAGGTTATGTTTTTGATGTGATGAGAAGGTTACTCACACTGTTGCGGGGATCAAAGATTACAAGTTCTCATAGTACAGGACGAGGAAGCAGAGACTAAAGAAATAGAGACAGCGGTGGGGGACGAGGAATACTCTCATGTTTTCCCACCTTGAGAAAAAGGTGTCTTTTTGGGGGGGCGTATTGTTACGAGGGCGCCTATCCTAAGGAAAAATTTGTCTTCGTACTCCTAAGGGCAATTTAGTCTTTCATTATTTTTGTTGTTGGGAATAAATAGGTTTGTTATGTCTAGGTTATGTTTTATGCATGAGATTGAGTTGTGAATCTTCGGTCTAAGGTTTGGGAGAGATTCCCTGCCTCTCGAATTATAGGAATTGAGAGAGATTGTCTGCCTCTCGAATTGTAAGTGGTTACCATTTGCATTTTTGTAAGTTGTTGGGATTATTGAAATAAAATTTGTGTTTGCCCTAATTATCTACGGAAATACGTGTGGATCATAACAGAAACAAATATAACCACTTTTGTTAAACCTCGTACAACCTCAAGATTTCATCTTGAAACTATTGCAATGTCTACATCATCAATTTATGGATCAAAAGATATTTACTTCTTGTTTTCTTGTACTTTCAACTCAGTGAAAAAACTCACACTCACCTCAAGTTTTAATGAGATACAAATTTTGTAATAAAAGATAACGTAGCTTGTCTAATTTTCTGCATAACTTCAGGATCAAGCGTTAAGAAAAAAATTACATAATTAGAAACCCAGATTCATATGATAGACATAATTAATCAATCTATTTTGAGCTGAAATACATAGTTGGAATAAAATAATGATGATGACAATAATAATGCAAGGCAAAAGTGAGAAAACAAAAATTTTCTTTAAACTCCAGAATCATATGTTCCCTCGTACATGAAGACAATACAAGCCCAGTTCTCTTCTTCCAAATCAAATTTTGTTTGGAAATCAGCAGTGTACGCTGTTTTAGCTAACACAAGCAAGTGGATTCTGTAGTGAGCACTCTATTACATCACTAAACGATTATGTGACAGAGAACCCTAAAAGTTAAGCAGCAATGTCTCATAAGAAATAACAAGGAACTACCCAATTTCTATGCATAGTAAATAACACCACAATATAATCAATAAGGCATGAATAAAGTAAGGATTGCGAGAAGAAGAAACTCTACCTTCGATAAATCAGGAAACATGGACGAGTCAACACCAAGAATTTTATTGACGATATCAGCTAAAAGCATCTGGCCAAGCCAAAAAACAAAATTAAATCCATCATCACAGATATATAGACCTCTGGAGTCTAAGCTCCCTACACTTAACGGTAGCTGTTTAAGAGAGTCTTCAGAATCAGCAGCCTGCAACCATAATATCAGCAACTCATAAATCATTGACAAATAAATATAAGTTGCCGGGAAATGTTCAATAGTCATGTGGTGCCGCGTGCATAATTCAATCCATAGCATACTGATCTAGTCACAAGAAAGTATTTAGGAGCTTGCAAAAGCTTAAAAACAAGTATTTACACATCAATGCAATAATATTGGAAGGCCAACAATTAATTATTCTTTTGCCTAAAGTAGTAGGGTGCTTGGTTACCTTAATAATGATCTCATCGATTCTAATCAAGCTAGGGTACAAAAGTTTGAGCAACCTTCTTATAGGTAAAATCATCATGCTATAACCAGCAGCACAACGTTCATCTAGAGAAGCATCGGCAAAACCCCCACGAAGCGCTGCAGATTTACATAGGCACAATGCATATAGTGGCAATAGCTTCAAAGATTCAGGATATATCATCCGCCCACTCAGCCTATGCTGCACAGCATAAAGGTTGCGATACTCTTTCAGGCATTTCACAATCTTCAACTGTATCAACTGACGAGCATCATCCAGCTTATTCGACAAAGAGTTCTCAATAGCTGCAGAAAATTGGTAACTTAAGATTTATGATGGTAGATGCAAAATAGATACTATAAGAGTAAGTACAGTACATCAAAAAAGTGAATAAATAACATGGTAGCATCAGGACTTACCCAGTCTACTTAATAGGGAGATAATGGCCCCAGTATCTGCTTGGCGGTACATTTCAGCGAGGTCGGGTACCACAGGCACTGCAGCTGTGTGGACTCTAATACGCCTTTCACCTGAAGAAGAAGTATAGCTGACACCTAGCTAAGGAAAAATGATAACACTAGTATTCTTGTTTAAAATAAGTAGATTTAAGGCAATTAGTACCAATAATGCACTACTTAATGATAGCAATTCTTTGTAACTCAGCATATTCTAAAACAGCAGAAAATTTGTAAAATAAAATATCAAATGTCCAAGAAGAAAATGAACTTAAACTAGTTCGTTTAGGAAGCCCAAAATAGCACTATGAACAGAAACCAAACCAAGAACTACACTGGTATGAAGATGACACAAAAAAAAAAAACCAAGAAGGTTCTCAATTCCATCTGTAGAAATGGAGATATACAAGACAGCCTAATTTAAAATAGATAGCTTTCTAGATCATATCTCATGGAATTAATGGCAAAAAGAGAACGTAAATGTTACAATCACAAATTCACAAATCCCATATTACCAAAAGATAAAAATTGAAATAGCACATATAATCTGCATCTACAATAATGTTCCTAAGACCACTATGGTGTTTAATGTGATAAAATTGAATTCTAGAATTACTCAAAAGATTGGGAAAAAACCTCAAATATTATTCTACATGTAAATATAAGGATACAGTAAAGCAACTTGAAAGAACACAACTTGAGTGGTTAGCAAGGTCTCCTCTAAAGCCAATTGCATTGCAAAGGCCTTATCAGAATCAACAGCTGGAAGAGCTAGCAAATCAACAGACCTAAGCATGAAATGCCCATGATACGTGGTAAACCGTACACCTGAAAAAGATTTAAAATAAAAAAAATCTTGAGGATATTTCCATTGGATTTCAAGAAAAGAAACAGAACACAAAGTAGCTAACGTAGACAGCACTATATCATGTAAAGACCTTTGGTACATCGAATGCGCATCACCGCTTCCCAAGCAGTTTCCCGTGTAAGGTCCCTTGTAAGTTCATGTTTTAGTTTCTCTTGGTGTGGAACTGCCTTAAAAGATGGATAATGGTACACCTGGCCTCCAGTATATTTTGCAAGAGTTCCTGCAAATAATAATATAGCACGCGTGATGCAGATGGCCAAATTTTCATAAGTAGCCATTCTAAAATGTAATATTTGCTTAAGTGGTACCTAGAGATGCTATGTCAGAGTACTTCTCGCTGAAGGCATATATATCTACTGCAATCTGGTTCTTTGTAAAATCTGCAGCCATTTGTTTATAAAATGAATCCTCGGCTATCCTTAAGTTATGCTCTTTATCTGTTCCGTATACACGAAGATCATCTCCACGTAATCTTAGACGGCCAACACCAAGAGAAGGTAAAGTGCTCTGGAAGACGAGCAACTTTCCTCCAAGTTGGCTCTGCAGAAAAAAAATAGTAATGAAGTTTGCATAAAATAACTATTTGATAATAGAATTGTGAAATACAGGTAATGTGGTGATGAGATTGCAACGCCAAGAAAATAGCATACCATAACCATGTATGAAGCTTTTAGAGCGGGGCCAAAAGCAGATTCCATATTTGCATTATCCTGAAACATGGTCGGCAAGCTATCCAAAAATGCATCCACAACGTTTCTTGAATCAGATAGGTTCACAAGAAGGTCATCTGGCAATGGTAAAAATATATCATCCAGATCAGCTACCACCATCATTTGGGGCTGCGACAAGGAAGACTGGTGCAAGGAGAAGATAGTGAATCACTTAAATTGTTGCTCAACTAACACAAGAAATTTGAACAAAAAAAAAAGGGCTCACATGAGTTGAAAATTGGGTGTAACATTAGATAATTATGAGAGACATTTAAAATTTATTTTCTGGAAGGAGAAAGAAACATGCCTTCAAACTGTAGAAGTGTAAAGTGCTGTCAAAAGTTAAGAAGCCAATTTGAGTTCTTGGGAAGCCGGGTAGGTCATCAAGGCAGGATTTTATGGTTCTTGCGACAACCTGCATGATCATGGTGTTGACTGAACATTAATTTTGAGAACATTAACAAGAAAGGTGATGGAATCAATGCGCTCAAAGAGCATAAAGCTTGCTAAGCGGGCTCGTTGTTACCCCTCAATAATGGAGAACAAGCACAAAATTGAAAGTAAAAACAACAAAAATATTTACCTCAAGAAGACCACTTCGAACTGCAGAAACTGATACATCAATAACAAAAAAGTATAATGGTGGCATAGGTGGCCGCACCATATACTCAGTTGGAGCAACAAATTCAACGCTACCTTTTGAAAGCTCGGGCCTTTGTTCCAGATCACATCTTCTACCATTAGCATCCAAAGCACAAAAGTACTCCCCAGGAACTGATCACCAGAATTGCATACATAATTTAGCAGCTTTTGTTACAATACACAACAATTTTGTTTTATAATTTAGCCTAATTTAGCAGCTTTTTATTACATAACTATCAAAACTTAGCAGCTTTTTGTTACATAATTATCATATGATGTTCAATGTGCACCAGTTCATACCAATACTTCAAATGTGATGAATGGATGGAATGAGATTTGTCAACATGCAGTATTATGAACAACGAAGCATTTCATGAAACCATATAGCAAGACTATGCAAAGGAATTCTGTTAATTTATGTAAAATATCTCTTTAATGTGCAAGATGTTAATTTACAATTAGCACCCTTTCCTACTATCCAGGGCATTATTACAAAGGAATGGCTCAAACAAACTAAACATACACTGGAACATTCAAAACATACACACAGCAACAAGGCAATCGCAAAATGGTGCAATATGGGTCATAACTAAGATATCCGTGGCGTGATTAGATCTCAAAGCTACGTAACCTTGGCGCTCCTAATATATTTCAACAAAAAATCTACATTTTGAAAGAGTGTTGCACCACAAGAAGAAAATAGGACAATGTTCAATTTCTGTATTAGAATGATAAAATGTAGTTGATCGGATCATAAAATATAGGGGTGAAAATGGGTAGGATTTTTTATTTTATCCTTAAAGGCAAGAATGAAGAATACCACAAAATTCAAGTTAGGGGTACTAGTTGGATCAAAAAAGAATTGAAAAAATAACAACGCTGTATAATTTAACTTGCACTTATAAAATCTAAAACATGGGAACAAGGACTAGCAAAAGGATTCACAAACACTCTGCAAGTAAGACTACGGAACATTTTGGCCAGGAGACTGGCATTGCACTAGGCTTTACCTGGTTGAATAGCCATTCCCATTGGTTCACACATAAGGTGTCCAGATGTGCTGGAAATTTTTCAAAGGTGGATGATTGGAGCCATGTGTCCAAATTTGATGGGTAAATGAGATTCCTGATTAATAAAATTAGATATGACATTGGTAGCATACAAATAATTACAAATTTCTAGGACAATGATAGGAACCGAATTGATTTTTAAATTAGGGCCACATATATTTATTTAACAAACACCAAACAGCACAACACAAATACATAAAGATCAAATACATAAAGATAATTTAACAAACACCAAACAGCACAACACAAATACATAAAGATAAGCACCTACAATTTGAGAGATAGGCGATCTCTCTCAAATCCTACAATTCGAGAGGTAAGATATCTCTCCCAAACCCTAAACCTAAGTCTCAAAACAATAATCTCATACATAACTCTAACCCTAAACATATTATCCTTATTTATACTAAACAATAATAAATGACTAAATTACCCTTGGGTGTCGTCATAACATTACTCTCCTCCCAAAAAAACACCCTGTCCTCAAGGTGAAAAAATTATTATTGGATAACGTTAAATGGCTCCCACGTGGCATCATTATCTAACAAACATTTCCATTTAATCAAATACTTGTAGTGACCCTCACCGTCTTGACATATAGATTTGTGCACATCCTTCGGTCACATATGAATATGATGGTACCCTGACTTCAAGTCATTCTTGAAAAATATCGCCACCTCAAACAATTCATCCAGTAGCTTATCGATCCACTGAATCTCTGCCAACTTCATATCATATGTATATTCTATTATGTACAAATCGATCAACAATCTTAGCTCTGTGTCTTAAATGTCCCTCATCATAGTCTTCAGCTTCACCAAAGTTTTGTACAAATTAGGGTCACCATGAAGCATCAACATCTTGTCTCCCTCCTAAATACTTTGTAGTGTACAAATCAATCCCTTACAAACTCCTCTGCTCTTCTCCACCTGTCTTGTCCTCATCATTACCTCTAAATTGTCTTTCGCCCAGAAGGTTGCTATAACAAAAGGCACCGATGTGATTGGAAGCAGCCCTCTGTTGGGGACACACCCAGCATGGTTCATTCTTCCAGGCTGAAATTCTTCAAAGCAATCTTCTCCAACTCTGAATCACACGTTACGTTCCGTCTGCTGCCGCTCATTTCAAACCTCTAGATGTCATGCAATTTTCTCCAAAGGTTGCCGCTCGAATCTGCTCCCAACTCCTTCACTCGATCTTGTCTGCTCCGTTTGTCCCAGTTGTTTTAAGGTTTCATTATTTCTTCCAACTGTTAACGTTCGTGTCCACTCCTGATTCCTTGGCTCGATAACGCAACTCCCAATTAACCTAAAGCAGCGACGTCCTGATGTCATGCAAACCCTTTTGGTTGCAATTGCTCCCATTAGTTCCCGACGCCGTCGCTCGATCCCGCGGGTAGCAGAGAAGATTTTGCATGAATCTCCATGATCTTCTTCATCATTTCTTCTAGGGTTGTGACTCTCCGCACCAACAGCCCCTCCATGGGTGAGAAATGTTCATCTATTTTAGATTTGATGTGTCTCTTTTCTTTCTCTAATTTTCCTCCAAAATATCCACCTTTTTTGCTGTCATTACTCCTGGGCCATTTTGAAAACTCCCTTATGTCACAATCTCGTTTGATTCCTCAACTATCTCGATCGCGAGGAACTCCGCATGCAGTTCAGCAAGTAGCTCCTTCATGTCGCGCAGAACTCTGCACCACAATTCTAGAATTCTTGTAAGCAAGTTCGAAGCAGACGTCGTGCGGAACTCTGGAAAACTAGGATCGGGAATTCTAAGGAATTCTTATACATGGGTTAGCTCGTAACTCCTGCAAGTCGCACAGAACGTTGGACACCGCAATCTCGAAATTCTTGTATGCTAGTTCGCTGCCGAATTATGGACATTGAGCAAAACATCAAAGAGCACGAACTCTATACATCGTGATCCATTCAATACCGATGAGTTTGAACATCGCAATCCCTTCATAGTTATTCAACTCCCATCGATCAATTCTTTTGTCAAATCCAATTCCCGGAATCTTGAGCTCAAATACCAATTGATAAGATATGACACAGATTTCCACACAAAAAATTAGGACAACAAATATTTTATTCACAAACACCAAACAACACCATACAAACATATAGAGATAAACAACTACAATTTAAGAGGTAGACCATATCTCCCAAATCCTACGATTCGAGATGTAGGATATCTCTCCCAAACCCTAAACATACGTCTCAAGATAATAATCTAATGTATAACCCTAAACCTAAACATATTAGTCATATTTATACTAAACCATAATAAATGATAAATGACTAAGGTGTATTTAGGCTAATAATTGCCCTTAGGCGCCATCTTAATATCAGATAGGTGACTAATAAGCTTTTTCTTAGCATTTCTTTCATAAATGATGTTTTGGAAACATACCATTGAAATGTGGAAACATATTCCAATTCCTTAATCTTATCTTATAATACTCATTGCCATGAAACTTAAGTTTTCTCTTCCTAGATGGATAATAAAAAGTAGGAAGATCCACATACATAGCACTAAATTCTTATGTATTTACATACCTTACACCTAAACTTCAATTTTTACATATATATGCCATATTAACTATACATGAAAAAGGTGAATTTCACCTTTTAAAATTTAAAATAGAGGTACTTTTGATGTGATATGAAAGATTTGGGTGGTTTAAATGTAAAAAAGCAAAATTTAAGTGTCAACTGTTACATAAAAAAGTTAAATGTATGCCAATTGTTACATCATGCTTCAATTCAACCCAAAAAATGATGTATTTGGCCGTCAATGTAGGTCACATAAGCATAGTTATCAGTATTTTTATGTTAAAAAAAGCAAATTCCCTCAACAAGAACAAGAGCATATCAACTCATCGGGGGAAGTTAGAAAACATGCAACAGGTTGGCACATTCACATTTAAACCAGAACCGTGCTTGTACATGTCTATAAATGTTATCAATCTTGTACTAAATGCATTTTTTCAGGAATAACACTAACTTCAAAGGAAATTTACTAGCCTCATCAAACTTGTAAACAATATACAAACAATTCAATTAAGCAATATCAAGTGTGCTAATTTATCAACAAGCCAATGATTGTTGGCAATAAATTCAAAGAAAATATGAGGTAGGGCAAAGCCCTACTATGGGTCTCTTTTAAAGCTGAAAATCTTAAATGGAGCATACCATCATTCATCAAAGAACAAATGTTGCAGCGCCACTTTCTTCCAGCATCTGTGAAAGTCACATATGCATTGATATAGGTTCGGCACCTTCGACACCTAACAATGCCAACCAGTCCAAAATTGACAATGGGCACCTCATCCTAAAAGATTAAACTCATTAAATCAGTCTAGTGAATACAAAAAAAGAATGAAAAATGAAGCCTAAATTTAATTACAAAATCCCAAGAAAAAATGTAATAAACATCCCAATTTGTGAAATGTGGGCATTAAACAAAGATAACCAATAAAGAAAGAAGCTAATAAACTCACTCCATCTGGAACTTCTGCCAAAGGATGAAGCACAATTCCTAAAGGTAAATGCCAGCGTGCAAGCAACGACTGAGAGCTCGGTAATGCATGAGTTGTCAACCTCAAGAATCTTGGATGGCAGTTGAAAGGGTATTTCTCAAGGACAGAAATTGTCTCCTCATTATTATCAAATGGCCTTGGCAAAGATCTAAAATCCAGTCCAGGATCAACTGACCCAGGAGCAGACCCAAGTGTTATTGACTGAAAATCTTCTATAAGCCCTTGAACGGAACCTCCCAAAGGAGGAGCTGCACTAGCATATTGCATTTGTTCTCTGGATGCAAAGCCTATTGGTGCGCCGATAGGAGGAGGTGGTGGGGCTGCAAATCCGCCTTGGGGAGGATGATGAGGAAGACGAGTTGCAGGAAATGTCTGAAGGGGTGGTTGTGAAATAGAACCAGGGGCAGAAAACCTCATATTTACAGGTGACTGAGGCACACTACCTCTTGGAGGCGCGTTGTATTCTGCTTGTAAAGGTGGCTGTGGAGGTGGACCAGGCGGCCTTGGTGCAGATAAAGATGGCTGGAAAGGAGGTAGAGGGAAATTGGCACTGGGAGTCATTTGGTTTGAAGCTACGGAGGGAATGCTAATTGGAACTGGTGATATTTGGCTTGATGGAAGAGACCCAGAAGGGGGTATAACTGGTGGTCCTGCTTGAGGTGTGATGCCAAAAGGAGGCACAGGTTGAGCAGGTGGCGTGAACCTTGGAGCTTGTGTTGGCTGGTAGACACTTGTGTCTTGTTTGCTGTAAGCTGATGGTGGAACATTTGCAGGACCATTAAACCTAACTGGTGGGGGAATCCAGGATGAGTCCGAAGCAGCCATGGCCCTAGGAAAATTTGGCATAGAAGCTCCAGGTGCAATTGATGGAACAGAACCAGCTATTGGCCTTGATGATATGAAGGGCGAAGTGGGTCGAGAACTGCCAACCCCGACCACAGGCCCTGAAGATGTGAATGGAGGAGGATTCTGTGGGTTGGATGGTAGAAATGGGGCAGGTCTAGCGGGGACATCTGCGATTTTATCTGCCCCAGGTTGCATGGTCCTTGACTTTTGTTTAGCTATTTACAGAAGCAGCCTGAAACATTGGGCATAAAATGAGTGTGCTGCAAGTAATGAATAAGAACGTTATTCTAGAAATATTTTACTAATGATGGAAAGAGATTAGCAAAAAATGGGAAGGGTTGAAGAAAAATGTTTCAATAAACAACTAAAAGATAATCAGTGGACTATATTATTACAGTAGAAGTTCCACAATCCTTGACAAGACATTCAAGCGCAATAGAAATAGAAATCAAGCATGAAAATGCTTCTGGTTAGTTATAAGCATTAATGCAGAGAAAAGTTTCAATCAATTAAATGAAAGCCAACTCAGCTTAGAATGTAAAGTAAAAAAAGGATGATGTATCCTTATGTTTTTAAACTTCCAAGCATGTTCAACAATAGAATAATTTAATGTAAATGAGCATTCTTATAAAAGCTTCCCATTAATAAGAGGAAATGGAGAGCTTGTGATCGGTGACACCATACTGAACAAAGCTTTGTATACATTCCATTGACGAAAAAAATTTACAAAGTATATGATTAATTAATTACATTACAAAACTTGTAATGCTATCATAAAAACAAAATATCTCGCAACAAATAAAGTACATAAAAGATTTAATCTCTTCATCTCCAACAAACTCTTTTACTAATACGCCTAAAGACATCCACAAGCCTCAAAAGTTCTCTTGTAAAGGAAACAAAACCACCATAACAATGAATTTCAAACTTTTTGTATGTTCGGAAAGTGGCTTTTTGTTTGCTTTCTCACATACAGGCCGCTTCTATCAAAAATGTATAACAAGAAGATAGCAATTTCTATGGAAATTATAGAAAAATAGTAACTTGATTTGTGAAAGTTCTCATAGACATCAACATTTGAGAAATTCTACATACATATAATGTTCCAAGATAAAATCATAACAAGAATCAACAACATCATTACTCCTATCCCAATATTTTGGTAGTGATGAGAATCCTCCATTCATTCTTATTGAGAGTAATATGACCATCAAACCTCTTTAGAATAATTCCTGTTCCCAACTTCTATCATGTATCTTTCGGTCAACACTTTTCGTCTTATGAATCCTTTCATATTAATTTTACCTACTTGTCTTATTGGCGCATTCTCTACATTACATAATACATACTCAAACCACCTACATACTTCACTAGCTTATCTTCAATAGGAACTACTTCTTCATTCCTCCAGTAAAATCACTTCAAAATCTTTTCTTCGTAATTTTACCAGAAACTCATGTTAAAATTATCTTCCATGCCACACTCAATTTGGCTATTTGCAACTTTCCGATGGCAAAACATGCAGTCTACTACTCTGAGGCAATTCTCCATGATAACCACAGTTCTAACTCAAGATACATCAACATAATTCCATACAATTGATTTACATGCAACACTGAATTAAAATTATCAATTATCATCTCAAACAAAAATTACAAATATATAATCAATGTTTGTTCTGCTAACCTTAATTAACATAGCTTTCACTTACATTTCCATAGTCCAAAAAAATCTTACAAATAATCACCTAAATAACAACAATAATACTTCCCATAGGAAAAGGATTAAGCTTCCATGAACAGAAAAACTTGAAACAATTTGACTGATTCCATGTCTTCTCCTTCAAGCTTATAAAGGATGAATGGGACTCGGAACTTAGAAGAGACTTGGAAAAAACCGCTAATTCTAGACCAATTAGCAGATCTATCAGACAAGGAATTCATCATTCAAAAATGAAAACAATTCAATTCAAACCAGGTAAGTAAGAAGAGGAAGCCCATTAACAAGCAGAAAAAAGAGGCTTCAATATACGTCAAGGAACTGATGCTAGAAACCCCGAAATTGGGGAGTCGAAGCAGGACATCAAATGAAAGGGCGAGAGAGATCACCACTAGGGTTCATAGAACTCGTACGGGGTAATAAGAAAAGAGCAACGTAGTGAGTTCGCCGGATCCAAGCAGTGGTTTGCAGAGCGGAGACCGATGTTGATGCAGGACGAAGAAGCCGGAGTTCCTTTGGATTCTTTTATTCTCGTCTGGTTTAACACGAGAAGGATTTCTTTTATTCAGATCTGGCCCGATTCTTTTTTGCTCTCAAACAAATGGGCTAAAATTAGAAATGGGCTCACTCCATTAAATTAATAAAATAAATTAAAATAATTCTGCGTGGTCGGCCTGCACTAACGAGATTGTAATCAGGTTATACTAGTCATGTACCTTCCGCGGTACAGGGTCATGCAATGCGTTTGTAACCAAACTATACCCAAGTTATACCTTCCGTGGTAAACTCCCATGTAATGCGCTTGTAACCGCGCTATACATACCTTCCACGGTAAAGACTTATGTAACGCGCTTGCAACTGTGCTATACCCAAGCTATACATTTCGCGGTAACAAAATATGTAACGCGGCAGTAATTTTTTTGTAACCCAGTCGTAACCTTTAATATATACCGCGCGGTGTAACCTGGTTGAAACCTCTATATAACGTTGAACCGCGGTTATAATCCTCTTGTAACCTCTTAATTACAAATTGTAACCTTCTTATAACCTCAAAAAATCGTGTTTTATAACCTTGGTAAAAGGTTGAAACCAATATAGTGACTTTTCATTTTCGAAACAGACATTCGCGCGTGCTAGGGTTTTTCGTCGTCGTCTTTCTTTCGCAGTAGAGTGTGGATTGCTTAGGCGAAGGAATACTAAAATGGAAGAGGTAAGCGTCGAGACCACGAAGACTAATTTGGTAGAGGCCAATGTCGTAGAGTTGGGAGAGGCTAAGAAATCTGAATGTGAGGAAGCACCGCAAATGGGCAAGGGCGGCCGACGGCCGTAAGGAGAAAAAGGAGTCAAATAAGAAGAAGGATATTAAATCTAGGTAATTTTTAGGGTTTCATTTTGAATCTATAAAGCTTGGTTATGTTTTAGGTTTAATTTTTAAATTCATCTTTTATCATCATTTGGATCATCATTTGGATTTTAATTTGATCTTAACCTATTATGATGTATTATTATAGGTTTTTTAGCGCAAAAAATAATGAACTGCAGGTGTCGTCCATCTGAAGTACGAGAAGTCCTCTATAAGATTCGACCATTAGTGGACAAGGAAACATGGAGTAAATTGGAAGCACTGAATTTAGCTCAGTTTTTTGAACTCTCCCCGCACCCTCAAGATCATATTCTGACAATGCACATAATAAATTGTTGGAATATTGATCGAATGACATTCCACCTCGGAGGGAAAGAGCTTAAATTTTATGCTGACGAGGTTGCACTCCTGATTGACATACCAAATAGAGGTTTCCCTGCATACTGGAGTAATGCCCCGCCAGCTAGTATGGATGCGCAATAATTAAAGACTGCACTGCTAAACTATTCATCAGGGGAGTCCACGAATACCCTTTTACAATTATTAATAAAGTTTTTAATGTCAAATTTACTTTTTCCTTCAAGTAACTTTAGAATGTCAAAAGAGTTGTCGTGTATTTGTGAGAATGTTGAGTCATTTACAGCTTATAACTGGCCAGCAATTGCATGTAATTTTTCTACCGAACAACTCAATATCTGTGTCATAAAAATAAAGAAAGATCAGTCGTTGGGATACATTACTGGTTTTGTATTCCTTCTAACGGTTTGTATTATTCATATAAGTCATGAAAATTAATATTCATAATTTTAAGCATTGCAGTAAATTATTGTATCATGTTTCATGCAATTGTGGTTTTATGAGCATAGCTCTTTAGTCCTCCCAGCAGTGCCTGAGATTAGACCAAGAATGCTGAGGTGGTCAGTTAATGTAAAGTGGAATTTAGTTAAGATATAACTAGCCTTCAAGAGGCTGACAACCAGTCGAGATGAGTTAGTTATTTATTTATTCCATATACAGTCTTATTATGATTTCATTGTAATTTCATTGAGTTTGAGTTTATTTAATGGCTTGCAGATTTATGATTATTTCATTGAAATAAAAGACAGCGAACATCAATTACTTGCCCCAGCTCGTGAAGAACCATTCATCCCCGAAAAGCATCTCCCACAACAGGAGACTCAATCCCGACCACAATCTCCCACATTCATTCTTGTTTCTGATACAGTTCTTTATCGCAGCGGTCTAGAACTAACACATGCTCACACATATACAGATACTAGCCCTCCTATTATTGGTCTTCAATAAATACATGCAATGCGTAGAGATCATCATAAATTGTACATAGAATTTAATGGCACAGTTGACAATCGTCTTACAAATATAGAGAATACAATTACAAAATTAAAAGCTGAAGTTATAAATTTACATAAAGCAATAAAACAATATGGTGGGGAATTACCATTGAAATGGGCCACAGCATCCCCACTACGTAGCTTAATTCGAAGGATTAAAGTAAGAGAGGATAGAAGGAAACGACAAGTTAGTTCCCCCTACATGGTATTTGAACGAAAAAAGAAAAGTGAACCAGCACAGACAGTTATTAAGAAACCTGAAGAGGTACATATATTTAAAACTCATGATCAAATTCAAATCTTCTTTTACTAATATAATTAACAACATCTATTAGTTAATAGGTTGGAGGTGTCAATAAGGGTGAAGCAGACCAATTGCATCATTCGTCGTTTGTTAGAGAAGAGGGTGAGGATGTAAATAAGGGGAAATCAAGAGCTTTAGAGCCTACTATAAACGATGACATTATTGTTGATCAACCACTGTCAATAATAAGGAGGAGATAGAATTTGAGGAGAAAGAGGAGGATCAGGAATAGGTGGAAACACATTATGTTGATGAAAATTATCCTGATAAGGTATCAATTTTTTTCTTTGTGAGTTTGTACAAAGAATTTTAATATTTAAACCATACAATATTATTTCCTTATTTTATAGTTCTGTCCAGCACCACTTGTGGTTGATTTTCCTGCGAGGGAACAAATTCTGGATTATATGCGGAAAGCATTCGACCTTTGTTGTAGCAAATTCACCGAGTTGTCAGTGTGCTATGTTTTTAAATTTCTTTAGATATTCTACTTTCGTATACATTTGACGTAACATTCATATGTTTGAAATGCAGAGGTAATTTAGTTATTAATATGGGACATGTGTCGTTAACACGACGTTATCTAGATGACTCCTCAAGGAGGGTTGGTTAGGAAACGAACAGGTTGATTGTTTTGCAATCTTTATGGAAGCTAAAATATGTCAAACACCACATTTATATAAATCTTACTTATATGTCTCTCCATGTCACTGGGTAAATTTTCTAATTCCTTTCTCATGCAAGGTACCTTAATACATCTAACACACCAACTTTATTCTTATGTGATATGTCTCTCCTTTTATACAACTGTATAAAGTTGGAAATGTTAAAGGATTTGTGGAGCACATTACAACCGCAACTGTTGTGAATACTGAGTTGATTTTACTGTCAATAATAAATAATAAGCATTGGACATTATTAGTTGGGGCAATAAAGGAGCGTAGATGGAGATTTTACGACTCCTTACTAAACAGAATGCATATGAATATCACCGACGCCGTTGTAAGTAATTGTGTAGACTACTGAGTTGATTTTACGACTCATACTTTTCTTCAAATAATTGTGTACCGATACATATGGATCATTGCAGGGCAATCAGTTCTTATTTCTGCTCTTCTATATTTAACCGTTTCTGTAATCTTCAGCTCTTTCTTGAAACCTGTTTTTTCACATATAAAGTCTTTCATCTTGATATTTCTGGAGTTAGTCCAAAACGTAGCGTGATCCTTACGAACACTGAATCCAATATGATGAGTGTATGCACAATATACTTCATAAGCTTCTTTCTCATTGTGGACCAACGTTTGTAGTAATATGTTTGTTCTTTGCTCGACACAACTAGCATTGCTCTCACCAAACTGCAAGCAAGAGAATAAAATGTTAGACTAATAGAAAACTCAAAAAACATCCCTAAATTTCATAATGACACCTAAAAAAAAAACAAACTAAAAAAAAACTAACCTAAACAAAAAAAAACTAACCTAAACTCATACACCTCTAAAAAACATGCGCCTCCAAATACTTTAATATTTTTAATTATCTACAAACATGTGTCTCGAAAAACTTGTGTTTAATGAAGGATATATTAATTACTCCAATGTTTACTTCACTGTTTTTATTAGACCTAATACCATGCAACTATGCAAACATAACACAACATACATATACCTAAAAAAAAAACAGATATATCTTAAATATAAGAAAACCATAACAGCAAAGAACATTAAAGAAAACTCTAAACTACTTATTATAATAACACATCTCCAAACATGCCTCCATTTTAAGTTCCACTTTTTCTGTCCTGTCAGGATAACGCTCATCTTCTCCTTCTGCGTGATGGACTGCGTCGAACATAAACTGACACTCTCTGTAGTCATACTCCATCTTCAAGTTCAAGAGGTCCACCTGCTGGAAGCTGCCACTGCAGAAGAAAATGGTCATAGAATAATGGAATAGTAAACCTAGCTGCTTAAATACCATGCTTCGAGCTCACCGATTTAAATCATGTACAGCGCAATTACATTCAGGGTATACGAGCGGTTCCAATTGAACGGGCATAATCCTCTGTTACATGACAGTAATAAGATGGGTACAATCTCTAATCTATGCGGTTACAAGTATTGTTCCGCTATACGGGCTTGAAAGTTTGTTATACAGCGGTTATAATCGAGTTACAGCGATAACATAAATCTCCTTCCGCGGCGAAGACGTTAAATCGAAGTTTCATTCACGTTATACCCACGGTATAACGGGAAGGTTACAACTAGGTTACAATAAAATTACAAGCGCATTACATGGCCTTGTACCACAAAAGGTACATGGCTAGTATAGCACGGTTACAATCGCGTTACTGCAGGCCGACCGCGGGATATATAGGAAGGGTATATCGGAGTTACAGATTAGGGTACAAACGCGTTACATCACGGGCCGGGTAATGGGTCACGCGCGAAATTATTTAGATTTATTTTATTAATTTAATGCAGTGGACCCGCTGCAAATTACGTGGCGTCTTCCGATTGGATATCACACGCATCGCTGCATGCGTCTTACGCAGGCAAA